AAACTTAAACCTTTTAACACTGCACACAGTCAGATGGGTGTTAGACCACACAAACAGGATCCAAATGTTCCTCTACCATTAATAATCTACCAATGTTGGAAAATACCTGTGTAGCAGTACAAATTATAAAACATTATGTAACTAGATTAACAGTTATGTGACATTTGACTTCTAAGCCCTAAAAGGGACATTTACAGATTCAGATGAAAGAGGACTGGGACTTTCCCAACACTACACTGTGAGGATGATGTTACAATGTCCGTTTTTATTGAATAATGTGAAGATGTAACTTGGTTGCCATTTCAGGATCTTTTTATGCTAATGAAATGATGAGAGTCACTGAACTTAATTACTGACTATTTTACTATGCAAAATACCTTTCATATTTTGCTGTATTATATTTACATGGGGTGTTTTGGATTAGGGTGTTGTGGGTGGGAGAATATGACTCAGTAAACAACCAGGAAACAATTTCAAAGCTCATAAAAAACAGTGAGCAGGGGAACCCAAAGTTTACTTATGGATGCAGACTTCAGTTGCTAATTTAATTCATTACAACTCTCAAAGTAGGGGGATTAATGCCTGGCATGGAGACACACACACTTGGGAGATAGAGGAAAGAGGCCTAGGAAAACAAAGTTATCCTTATTATAAGTCAGAGGCTAACTTGGGCGACATGAAACCATGTCTCAAAAGATCAAATAACATCACCAAAAACAAGGATTGTAACATGAAAAAACAAACATTATGTATATATGTATATATATCATTTTGTATATATGTTTCTCATACTGGGTAATGAATAAAGCACTGTTGGCCAATAGGAAAGGAAGATAGGAGGGACTAGGAGACAAGGAAGAAAGAGGAAGTAGTAAGGAGGAGTCAACATGGAGAGTCTGGAGAAGGCAGAACCGCCAGCCGCCTTTCGCTGGTAAGACTACGTGGAAATACATAGAAATGGGTTAATACTTAAGACAGAGCTAGCCAATAAGAAACAAGTAACTGGCCAACAGCATAATATCAAATACAGAGTCTCTGTGCATTATTTGGGGCTGGTGCGGTGGCGGGACAAGACCAGTGGCGGGTGGAAAAACCTTACTCCTTACACCTAACCAAACCAAACCAAACCAAAACAAAGCCTAAGAAGACCCGGAGACAGAACTGGGGTTCAAGCTTCAAGCTGAAGACCAGAGAAGAAGCAAGCAGCCAGCCATAGCTCTTGCCTCTACCTCAGACTGAAAGGGGTGATCCTGTCTCCATGAATCCTAAGAGGCAAAAGCTCTGAATTCCTGTCTCCTCCTGCTTATATTCCTTTCTCTGCACAGCCATTTCCTCTTGTCTCTACTTCCCTAGTGCTGGGATCAAAGGTATGAAGCTAGCTCTGTTACTCTTCACTCGAGTAAATCAAGGTGGCCTTGAACTCAGAGAGATCCATCTGTCTCCTGAATCCTGGATTAAAGGTGTGTTTAGCTAACTAGTGTGGCTGGCTTTGCTTTCTGACATTTCAGGCAATCTTTATCAAGTCATAAATAATGTATCATCACAAAAGATTGCTAAGGAGATGTCTAAGTAGGTAAAGTGTTTGCCAATCAAGTAAGAGGATCCTAGTTTTGTGCCTAGAACCCATGTAAGAAAGCTGGGTGTTGACAGCTGGGGTGACAGCATTTGTTGCTCTTGCAGAGGACTGCAGTTTGGTTCCTAGAACCCATGCTGACCAACTCACAACTGCCTGTAAGTCACTTCCAGAGGAGACAAAGAATGTCCTCTTATGGCCTCTGGAGCATCCATACTGACATGTGTATGCACACACAGATAAAAACAAAACCAAGTAAACAAACATCTATAAATCTATAGCTGGGTGTAGTGGCATGGGCTTGTAATCCCAGTGCCAGAGAAATGGAGACAGGAGGATCCCTGGGTCTCGATAGCCAGTCAGTCTAGTTGAGTTGGCAAGACCCCAGGTCCTAGTGAGAAGATGTGGTTTCAAATCCAACACAATGCAACAGTACAAAGGAACCCAAGGTAGGTAATAGAACAGTATGTGAGGCTGAGTTCTGGTATCTGAAAGCATGCATACACACCTGTACCAGAGGGCACATGAACTCTCCCTCACACACACATGTACACACAAACTCCAACAAAGAGGGTTCAAAGGCAGCATGAGGGTGTCCCTGATCATAGGTTTATTATTTAATAGGAATTACAGGCTGGCCTGCAACTCACTGTAGCTCAGGTTGGCCTCAGACTCACTGCAATCTTCCTGCCTGTTCCTTTCAAGTGCTGGAATGATAGGTGTGAACTACCACAGCCGGCTACATCATTTAATACATTTTAGAATGATGAAGCTTTAAAATATAAACGACAAAACAGTGTGGCTGCTTGATAAAATCAGCAATGGGAGGGGGACAAGGAAGAAAGTGATGGGTGGACAGTACTACGCTAAGTAAGTAAATGCAAGAGAGACGGGAAATGGGTTGCTGGCTGTAATTTTGTAATCCCATCAACCAGAAGGCTGAGGCAGGAAGAAGACTGTAATGAGTCCAAGGCCAGTCTGGGCTAAGAAAGAAAGAAAGGAAGGGAAGGAGGGAGAAATGGAGGGAGCAGGGAAGGCTTCCACACAGGAGGAGTGAATGTAGATTGTCCAGGAGGCAGCAAAAATGAATCTGGTAAGAGGAAAGGGCTCACACTGAGAATTTTAGAGTTCTCTCCCTCCCTCCCCCATTTAATTGGGGTGGCTTACAGTTTCACAGCCTTAGTCCATTGTTGTCTTGGGATGTTGAGGCATGCAGACAGACATGGTGCTGGAGAAGGAGCTGAGTTCAACATCTTGATCCATAGGCAACAGGAAGTAGACTGTGACACTGGGCACAGCCTGAGCATAGGAGGCCTCAAAGCCCCCCCCCCCATAATAGTGACACACTTCTTCCAACAAGGCCACACCTCCTAATGAGGCCACTCTCTTTGGGGACCATTTTCTTTCAAACCACTGTACCTAGTGTATATGAGGCCTTGGGTTCCATCCCTAGCACCACCAAACAAACACACTAGCCCAAACCAGACCAAACAAACTAACAATGTTGCTAAACAACCCCAAATTCTTCCAAAACCCATAACACTACTGTGTTTTTGGAAAGATAAAGTGCTCAGAGAAAAAATTTATATACAATGACTAGGAAGGGTTTAGTGAAATACACAAATCTGATCCAACATTTGGAAATTCTGTTGGGAGAAGGTCCGAGATGAGAGCAGCAGCACACTCTACCTTGGAATGCACGTGTAGCCTAGGCTGGTCTTTCTGAATTACTGTAATTCATTACATTAACAGGCTAAAAGAAAATCATATGACCATATCAGTAAGTGAAGAATTACTAATAGTGGAGAACACTATTCCAATTAGACTGTGACCTGTACCCATAAGTCAAGATGACACAGTGCGGACTGAAGGACAGACAAGTGGACAGTGAAGCAGATTTATTGAAAAATTCTGCTCTGTGAGCCAGTGTGAAAGGATGAAACAACAGATTCCAAAAGGAGCAAACGTTTTTGTAAAAGCACCTAAAACTCTGTACACAGAATATACAAAGAAATCCTAGAACTCAACAGGACGACAGAGAGTCTAATTAAAAAATGGCAAAAAATCTGGACACCAAAGAATGACCAACAATCACAAACAGAGAGCAAGAGACCATAGGAAAAGACACTCAGTATCAGGAGGCTTGAGAGAATTTGGGACTTAAAACAAAAGGGGAATACCCCCTCCCAATGTTAGTTTTCCACTCCCCAGACTGACAGTACCAAATGCTTGTGAGGAGAAGGAACAAAAGCATGAAATGGTAAATGACTTTGGTTGGCAGTATGCTTGTCTCTTACAAAACTAGACATAACATACCATCTTAGCCAGCAACCACATTTCTAAGTATTAACTCAACTGGGCTGAAAACTATGTTCACACAAAAATTCACACACAGCTAGATGTTCATGGCATCTGTATTTTTATTATGGAAGAAATTACTCAGCAATAAGAATAAGCTATCAGGCCATAAAAAGACATAAAGGAACCTAAAATGGTGGTACCAAGTGAAAAGAAGCCAATCTGAAGGGCAATGCACTGTATAATGACATGTAGGTAAAGGTAAACTATAAAGACAATAGGATGGGCCAGGTGGTGGTGCAAGAAGATGCTGATGAGGAGTTGCCAAGGATGGAGGGAGGGAGCAAAGAGGATCAAGTGAAGCATGCTGGGTCCTTAGTGTGAAGTAATTTCATGTTAAACCAAATGGTAAACACATCACTATGCCTGCCCAAACCTATAACATGAAGAATGAAACCTTAATGTGAACCATCTGTTACAGTAACTATTAATACGGGGAATATGTGGGGGAAGTCAAGTGTACATGGAGGGGTGTGTGGAGCTGTACAACACTTGTTTCATTTTCTGTAAACCTAAGCCTATGCTAACTAAACATGATTCTATTAATTGTTAAAAAATAAAATCAAAGGGACTAGAGTCTCTTGTTTAGTTCTAATTTCGAAAGTCCTGTGGGTACTGGAGAGATGGCTCAGTCGTTAAGAGCACTGGCCATCCTTCCAGAGCACCTGGGTTTGATTCCCAGCATCCACATGAGGATTTGCAACCTTCTGTACTCCAGTTCTAGGGGATCTAATGCCTTATTTTGATCTCTGAAGGTACCAAGAACATATGTGGTGCATGGATATACATGCTGGCAAAAAAAAAAAAACTATACACATTAAATAAGTTTAAAAACCATTTTCTTTTGTTTTCGAACTAGGGTCTCTCTGTGTAGCCCTGGCCATCCTGGAACCTGAGCTATAGATCAGGCTGGGCTCGAATTCACATATCTGCCTGCCTCTGGTTCCTGAGTGCCACCACTGCCTGACATTCAAAAACAAAATTAAAAAGTGTATTACATATGTCTTGATAAAAGTAATTTCAAACAAATGTGTGGAAAATAGAAATTTATTATATTATACTTTGCTACTCTTTTTTTACCTTAATATAATATCAGGTACAAAGCATATTTTAATTTATAGATAATAGAACATATTTCATTTAAAGCATCCACTAACACTTAATTTCCCCTCGTACACTGGAGGTACTGAAGGAAACTCCTTCTTAGAAAAGCCATGTCAACTCTTTTCTGTTGCTGTTTCTAAAACACACATTCCCAGAGATTTGCTCTTACTGATCTTATTTTCTGGAGGCATCTATGATGCTCTCAGATATGAACAAATCTTTGTCCCCACCTTCAGGGGCAAGTAACCATGCTTTCATCACTGGTCTTGAAGTTTATGGACAAGATTTAGCTCCATATACATGGACAGAAACACAGATCTGACAGGTGACATCAACATCGGGACTGAATGTTCCAGGACTGCAGACCACTGCAAGGGAAAATGCAGGCCGTCCATCAGTCAGTGTAGTTCAGAGATAGTTCATATCAACAATACAAAAGCATCTTCAGTATTACACCTTTCTTACAAAGGATGCTCACACCTGTTTAGCCAATTAAGTTGTGAAGATTACATCAAACTTTTTAATGTGATAATCTTAAAAACAGGGAAGTTTTGTGGAAGATTACTTTAACTATGGAAAGGTGTGTTACATTTGTTTATGCTGCAATTGTTTAACAATGTAAAGATGTGTTGCTTTGCCTGCCTAAGGCACCTGGCTGATCTAATGAAAAGCTGAATGACTAATAGCTAGGTAGTAGAGGGATAGGCAGGGCTGGCAGGAAAAGAGAATTTATAGGAGGAGGAATCTAGGCTTAGGAGAGAAGGGGGGAGGAGAGAGGAAGAGAGGGAGAGAGAGAGAGGGAGGGAGAGAGAGAGAAAGAGAGAGAGGAGAGAAAGAGGAGAGATGCCTAGGGCCAGCCAGTACGAAAAGTAAAAAGCCCTGGAGCAAAACATAGATGGAGGGAAAACAGGTTGACATAAGTTATAAGAGCTAGTGGGACAAGCCTAAACTAAGGTTGAGTATTCATAACTAATAGTAAATCTCCATGCCATGACTTGGGGGCTGGCAGTCCAAGAAAGGGAAAGTATTTCCCCCTCTATTAGTAGTCACAAGACCTCCTCAGTGCTTCATTTATAAGCGCCTGTCTGCAGTTTCAACCTCCCGTCCTAGCTCTGTGCTTCCCAGGCAGGACCATTCTGCTGTCCTGCATAGAACAGTATTATGTGTCAGAACGCTATGGAAATGCTTTGTAATATACGAGATATAAGTCCAAATAATATACATTAGGATGATTTGGGCTATCAAGTCTTTGACTTCTCTTTTCTATAAAAGACCAATGAAAAGAATCCTAGATGAGTTACTCATCTTTTCTCTGGAATATACAGACATTTAGGTATTTATATTTTATAATTACCGCAACAGCTAGCACAATTGCTGTGTAGACCTTCATTTTTCCCAAAGCCTGGTCGACAGTTATCTATACGTACTACTTGAAAACTGTGGTCCACAAAATGCATAGCCGGTATAGTTTTATTAAAGTGATGGTTCAAAATGTATGCTTGCCTCCCAAAAAATTCTTCTATCCGATCTCTTGCCTAAGATTTAGACATACCAGAGAAAATTACAATCATTAATTAAAAAACCGAACTCCTCATGAATCACAGGCCATAAAATATAGCAGAAATATTTCTTGCTCATGAATTAGATGAAGTCCTGAAAAATCTATGTTAAAACCTAAAATTAGTCTAGCTTTGACTAATCATTGTTAATTTATACACAAAGTGGATAAGGAAAACAGTTATAAAACTTGCTTTAGGGATGGCTCAGTTGGCCATCCTTGTTTGTAACCCCAGTGTTGAGGAGGTAGAGACAGGATTCCTGGGGCATGCTGGACAGAGAGTCTAGCCTAATCAGGAAGAGACCCTATCTCAAAGGAGACAGGGTTCCTGAGATTGACACCTAAAGTGGTGCCACAGCATACACAGGCATACATGCACACTTTCTATGATCATAAAAACAATAAACAAACAAACAAAAAACCGACATGCCAAAGTGCTGGAGGGATGGCTGAGGAGTTAAAGAGCACTGGCTATTCTTCCAGAGGATCTAAGTTCAATTCCCAGTACCCAAATGACAGCTCACTACTGCTTGTAATTCCAGTTCCAGATGATCTTGTGCCCTTTTCTGGCCTCCTCAGGTATTAGGTATACATATGGCACAAGCCATAGATGCAGGCAAAAACTAATATGCATTAAACACATAAGTAAAAATTTAAAAAGAGCAAAGTAAAATAGAAATCAAGGATTTAATCAGCATTTCAAACAAATCATATGAATCTGGCTTTGGGACAAACTATATAATAACTAAGCCTAAATGAGTACTTACTACATCAAATTATAGGCATGCATGGTCTAGGGAACAAGACAGGAGAGTGAAAACACTTTTTTTTTTTTGTTGCTGCTGTCTTTCCAAGGCAAGGTTTCTCTGTGTAGCCCTGGCTGTCCAGGAACTCAACTCTAGACTTCACTGCCTCAAACTCAGAGATCTACCCACCTCTGCCTCCTGAGTGCTAGGAATAAAGGCATGTGCCACCAAGCCTGAGTGAAGGACATTTTTTCTGACTATTCCTTCAGCCTCTGAAGCCAGCTGTGGGGTGAACAACTACCACATTTCTTATAAATATGACCGGAAGTACAATGGATTTAACCTAAGGGAACTTGATTATGAGGTTTTCCTTCAGGCTGATGCTTAACCATTTAGAAAATGAAGATCAGGAATCCACCTTTCTGGTGTAAAAAATATAATAATGTAAATATATAAATAAGTATATATATTTACATATATATACACAGACACACACACATATATATATATCTTGGGGGGGCTATCCATCTAATATTAAAGAGCTACTGTCTTGGTTAGGGTTTTTAATGCTGTGAAGAGACACTATGATCACACGAACTCTTATAGAGGAAAATATTTAACTGGGATGGCTTGCTTACAGTTTTAGAGATTAAGTCCATTATCATTATAGTGGGACATGGCAGCATACAGGCAGACCTGGTGCTGGAGAAGTAGCTGAGAGTCCTACATATTTCAGACAACAGGAAGTAGACTATGACACTGAGAGTAGCTTGAGCATAGGAGACCTTAAAGCCCACCCCCACAGTGATGCACTTCCTCTAACAAGGCCACACCTCCTAACAGTGCCACTCTCTTTGGGGGCCATTTTCTTTCAACCACCTCAGCTACTATTACCAATAGTAATAATAGTATTTGTATTAGTAAATACATAGTCAGTAAATACATACTGACACAGCAATAATCTCTGTTTAAAAAACCAAAGCAGACTGGTAAGATGGCTCAGTGGGTGAAGGGGCTTGCCATCAAGCCTGATGACCTGAGTTTCATCCTGAGACCCACACATTGAGGGAGAGGACTGATTCCAGCAGTTTATCAAGGGACTTATCTCTCTGTGTTGTAACTATTTCTCCTTAATAAAAACATTTGCGGGGCTGTAGAGATGGCTTAGTGGTAAAGGTGCATGCCAAGAAACCAGATGACCTGATCTGATTCCTGGGACCCACACATATGACAGAAAGTTATCCTCTGACCTTCACATGTGTGCTACAGGTATGTGTGTGTGTGTGTGTGTGTGTGTGTGTGTGTGTGTGTGTGTGTATTTTGTTGTTGTTTTTGTTTTTTTTTTTTTTTTTGAGATAGGGTTTCTTTTTTTTTTTTTAGCCCTGGCCATTCTTGAACTCACTCTGTAGATAAGTCTGGCCTTGAACTCACAGAGATCTGCCTGGCTCTGCACAGGTGCACCACCACAAACATAATTTTAAAAATTTAGAAGGAATAAGCTTATTCTTTAAAAAAACTAGAGACGTATTGTTGTGTTTCATGTGTGTGCATGCACGCACGCACACACGTGGGCAAGTATGCTTGTATGTAGGTATACATTATGTAGACATTATACCATGGCATGTGGAAGTCAGAGGACAACCTGAGATGGATTCTTAAAGAATTGTTTTTCTTTTGAGATAGGTTTTCATGTAGCCCAGGCTGGCATTGAACTGACTGTGTAGTTGAAGATGACCTTAAACTTCTATTAATAAGACAAAGTATGTACCCTTAGCTTTCTAGATCACTCAAGTGCTTTTTCTCAGGATGAGAGCTCACCTGGAGGATGTTATGATTAGTGGCATCTTCACAGTCTGAAGAGTTGATGCACACACTTTTCCAGCCTGGTGCAAAAGGATTCACTGGAGAGGAAAACATGACAGGTACACACCAGCTTCTAAAAAGTGTCAAACACTTCAGTAAAGCCCTACATACATGCTTTGGTTGGTATGCAGGCATATATATATGTTAGGCATACAGTTGGAATAACACATGCACTGTGACATTACTCCATCTGGGGGCTAATGGAAGTAACTACAAGACTTGAACATGGAAACAGATTGGGTTTGGTCATTCCCTTGTAAGTCCTCAAAAACAAACAAACAAACAAACAAAACAAACCAATAAAACATCATTCCTAAAATTGCATAGTTGGAGGTTATGCTAATAAAATGATACTGACTTTAAATGATAAATAATATATTATTTTAAGGCAAACAACTAGTCTGCTGTCTTTTAAACCACAACCAGTCAACAGAGTATATATATTAGTGCTTAGCAAACACTTCAAACTTATTTATGAGATCTCTCATATTTACATGGCACTTAATTTTATAATTTATCATGGTTTTCGATTAAAGTTATAAAGTTAATGTTGTAAAATTGTTTCACCTTGAAAGGCTATGAATAGCTCATACACGAAGTCACGTTCTGGAATTTTAACAGAATGGCACTTATATGATGGTTCTATGACATGGCACAACAAATCAGAGATTAAATTGTCCAAGATTTTCTTCAGCATTCTAAAGAGCACGTCATTATATCTTCCTACACAAGACTTGGTGGTAAAACGCACAGCCATGTGATAAGAATAATCAGGTTCCCGATAGGCTTTGGAAAAAGGTGATAATAAAAACAATTGTGCCTTACATTAATTTCTGCTATTCAAAAATTTCAAAAACATGCAATAATAAATACCATTATTCTTGCAAACCAGTTTAGAAATTTTACTTATCTACTACAATACTCCATAAGTCTTAACAAAATACATATAGCTAATAATTTTAATGGAAAAAGTCAATGTCATTTGATGTCTGTCTACTTAGGAGAAATGGCTTCGGGGGGGGATGGCAACACAAGTAAGTTAATAGTATCAAGAAGACATTGGAGCTGGAGGCATAGCTCAATAGTTAAAAGCTGTGGTGCCTACCATCCACATCAGGTGGCTATAATTCCATCCCCAGGTCACCAAATGCCCTGTTCTGAATTCTGCTGGTACCTGCACTCATAAGCACATACCCACACACATATATATATTAAGTCTTAAAATGTAAGAACGTTTTGGGGAGACTGGAGAGATGGCTCATGTGCTTCTATAATTATTACATTATAATTATATAAACATATTGTTACCAAAGATCATAAAGTTATATTTCTTCTTTATTGTTGTTTCTTCTTGGGTTTCTGCTTTGATAGTCTTATAGGAAAGAGTACATGTGTAAAGTCCAGATAATGATTCCATAAAATCTTTCACTACCAGTTTTCCTGTGTTTGTTATGTTTATTCGGCTATTCCCTAATCAGAAAGAGGAAATTGCTTGGTTACTTAACAGGTAACTTAAACATTATTCAGCAAACCCAGAGCTATAAACACACATGCCAAAGAAAATCAAAGTTAATAAACTATTTCATCCTCAAGAAAGCAATAAAAATTTTTTAAAGACAGGGTCTCACTGTGTAGCACTGGCTGTCCTGGAACTCACAGATATCTACCTGCCCCTGCCTTCTGTGTGCTGGAATTAAAGGACTGTAGCACCATGCCCACTAGCCCAGAAAAAAAATCCTAATTGTCATATTACTCTATGGAAAAGATGTAAGCCAGGTACTCTTTTTTTTTTTAAGATTTATTTATTATGTATACAGTGTTCTGCCTGCAGTCCAGAAGAGGTTTATCAGATTGCATTATGGATGATTGTGAGCCTCCATGTGGTTGCTGGGAATTGAACTCAGGAACTCTGGAAGAGCAGCCAGTGATCTTAACCTCTGAGCCATCTCTCCAGCCAAGCTGGGTATTCTTGTGTAAACTATGTTATTTCGTGGTTCTAGTTTTGACTGATTTATACCAGCAATTCAGTAAGACACAAATTAATAATGCTGATATCTCATTGACTATCTCATTCACTGGCGTTTCATGGGTAAACACTAGTAGTTATGCGAACTTTTGAATAGCTTTGGAATGTAGGGCACAGAAAAAGCTGCCTGAGGGTGGTAGGACAGCCCAGTGGGAGAGTGCTTGAGAGGGAGACTCTGGATACAGTTCCAAGCACTGGGAAAAAATAACAAAAAACTACCTCTTTGGTTAGCTCAGGCTATCTTCAAACTTGTAATCCTCCTGTCTCAACCTCTTGAGTGTTTCACTCACAGGACTGTACCATCCTTTAGCTCTGCTTTAGTTTTTGCATAGGAAGAATTTAAGTCATAGAGACAAGAAAAATTACAATTTGTCAATTTGATTGCAGTTTAAATTTATTGGGGATGGAGAGAGTGCCCAGTGGCACATGTGCTAGCAGAGGGCCTGGATTCTATTTCCAGCACCCAAATGATAGTTCACCACCATTAGTAACTCTAGTTCCATGGGATCCAATACCCTCTTCTGATCTCCGAGGACATCAGACATGCATGCAGTGCACATACATGCATACAGGCAAAAATTAAATAAATATAAAAATAAATTTAATAAATGTTTTCAATTAAATTTGTTTTTTTCAACAATGACAACACTTAAAAGACAATATTTACATCATTAAAGTATATATAAAATAATTTACCTGTTAATGTATTTTCATTTGGCCCAATCCATGAGTAGGTGGGGTCCACTGTTTCTTTACTAGCACGATTAATATCCATACAAATAAGGACAGGGCTATTCTGATGTAACTTTACATATATTTTCACTGTGACAAAATAAATTTTCGTATAACTACATTATACCACAAAACAAAGAGACACACTCCTATTGATTTGTCCCAATGATACCAATTAGTTCTTTCTGAGTTTCAGTACGTAAAAAGTGGTCATAACATGCTGGATGCTAGTTGTTACTTAGAAGGAAGTCATTTTTGCGTCTCATAGTAAGCCTTTAACTGCAACTCGTCAGTCATTTTATATACATATAAACATATACATATATGTATAAACATACATATGTATAAAAAATGTGACAGCCCACTAAAATCTAAGTTCCTTACAATGTACACATTCATAAATAGCTCCAGTGAATCTATAATTTGGTGGGGTAGTTGTGGCGCTGGGAAGGAAAAGGCCTTAAATGTGGAGATGTTCTAAAAAACAACACAGTGAAGTGTGGCTCAAAGTTATCTCAAAATAGTTGTGTCACTAGGAAAGTTAAGCTACAGAGAGTAACACTGGAGCTGGGGCTTGAAGAATGAGGAGAGCGGACCCTTCCAGAGGGACGTCCACCCCGCTAAGCGGCTTCACTCTTTACAAAGCAGAAGTGTTTGGAAGAGAGCACTAGATCTGCGATGGACACTGGGACCTAAGACTAGCATTGCCTTGAGGACAAAATGATGCAAACTTCCCGAACTGCAGAGCAGATGCTGCACCGCTCGCTCCCTTTCCCCTCCAGGGAAGAACCTAAGCAGGTGCACGGCATCCCGAGCTCTGGGGACAGGCCTTGCGTGGGAAGAGGCACTTATTACCTGGGTGTCCCACCGTGCCGTAAACAAAGCCTTTCTTACTGAATAAGGAAGAACGTTGCCATCCAACTGCGGAGGGAAGAAAACCTCTGACTTATTAGTGTTTAGAGGACCCAGGGTTCATCAGGGAGCAAGGCAAGGGGTGGCGAGGGCGGGGGCGGGGGCGGGGGAAGAGGGGGACGGGGAACCTCAGGCGGAGGGGAGGAGCCTGCGGGCCGAGCCCCACCTCCTACGAGAGACCAGAGCACCGCGGAGAGTAGGGCCCACGGGCGCATCACGGCTCAGGCACTAGCAGCGACAGCTGGGCTCCCTCCTACCTCAGGCCAGGCCCAACGCCTCCCCATCGCTCGTCTACAGAGCGAAGCAAACCGCCGAGGGCATTTCCCCTACCGGTCCGTGGCTACCACGGGGGCGGCTGCGCCCGAGAGCGCCTGCGTGCTCCGGCCTGGCACGAGGGGCGGGGCGAGCGCGCGGAGGGCGAGCCCCGCCTCCTGGCGCACGCGCAGTTACAGAGCGCTGCACCCGCCCGGCCTTTCGCACCTCGCGTCGGGTGCCATGTTCCCGCGCGCTAGCTCTAGGGCCTGGTCGCTGCGTGAAGAGAGAGTAAAGGAAACGAGCCCAAAACTTCCGGGGACTTCCTCAGACTAGAGCTAAAGGAACTGACATGAGAACACAGTGGGTCCCTAGGCCCGTGGTGGCGCCGAGCTGCCCAAGGATGCCATGGTTTCGGGGTTTGAAGAAGGGAGATGTTTGTAAAAATTTCCTAAAAGCGAGGGTGCAGCCCAGGATCTCCCTAGTCTAACATAAAGCTAGCATTGTCAGATCTGTCAAAGCGTTACACATTGCCATCTGGCACACAAAACCAAGATCTCAAAGATCCTTCAGTGCACCTGGAGGTGGTGCCAGACCTTCCCACGTGGAGCAAAGTAGAACCTTTATTTTTCAGCTTAGGGTGTGAGATGATGTAGAGGGACACCCCCTTATGCAAATTTATTCGGAAGTAACTTTGCTTTAGAAAATGGGCCCCATCGAAAGGCAAGAGCCTATGATCTTTCCCTCAGCTCATGTGAGATAACTAAATCAATATCAGGGAGGTCCGGAACAGTCTTTCAAACTTTTTCTCCCCAACCCCATGATGGCACCAAACCCAGGACCTTCCCTGAGCTGAGGTGTCAGTCACATCGTGTGTGGTCCCATCTTGACTACTATTTAGGTGACCTGAAAGACCCTGTGTGTTATTTATTTCTTAGCAATAGGACACCATCCTCAGTAGTGGTTTTGAGTAGGTTGGTAGGTAGAGAGCCCAAGGTTCAGATAGGGTGCAGAATGGTTATTTGGGGTGAGATCAAGGGTTTTCAGTTTTATTTCCTTTGAGCCGAGTCAGTATTTGGACTGTTTCAGATGGTCCAGGATCAACCTTTGTCAGGAATTTCATTTTTACTCACTGTTAATTTTATCTGTATAGCACACGCATGAAAAATGTGATTCAATGAGTCAGATCCACCCATCGTCAGTTACTATGTCTAGACTCATGGTTTAGTTTCAACTGTTAAAACTGTGTATGGGTGTTTTGCTTGCATGTCTGTCTGTGCACTACACGCATGCAGTGCTCACCGAGGCCAGAAGAGGACGTTGGATCTGGAACTGGAATTAGAGATGGTTGTGAGCCAGCATCTGGATCCTGGGTCTCAAGCATGGGTCCTCTAGAAGAGCAGACAGTGCTCTTCACTGCTGAGGTACTTCTCAGTTCAGATTTAATCAGAGCATTGTCCAAATGTACAATGCGTTATTAGCTTCCCACTTAATGCAACTGATTCTTACAAACTTTATGTGTTAAATTTCCACTGCTGTGAGAAGAGTCTTAAAAACAGAATAGTGGAGCATGAGAGATAGCTCAGCGGTTAAGAGTTTATCTGCTTTTCCAGAGGGCCCTAGTTCCAGTACCCAGTTGGGCAACCAACATCAGCCTATATAACTCCAGCTCCAGGGGATCCAATGACATCTTCTGGACTCTGTAGACACTTGCATTCACCTATACATACCCCACCCCTCCCATATATACACAATTAAAAAAAAAGACAACCTTTAAAAATAGAGTAATGGTTTGTGTATTGAAAGTACCCATGTACTCTTTTAAAGTAAGCTTTGTACTTTATAAGTTTTATTCATTTGCTTATTTTTGAGACAGAGTCTCTCTGTGTATCCTTGGCTGGCCTCACAGAGATCTGCCCACCTCTGCCTTCTGAGTGCTGGAATTAAAGGTGTGTAGTACCATACTCAGCAAGCCTAGAAAAAAAAAACTTAATTGTTATATTACTCTATGGGAAAGTTACATGAGGTGGGTACACTTGTGAAACCTATGTTGATTTTCTTTGCTCTTTACATTTAGTTTTGACTGATTTATGTCAGTAATTCAGGAAATGAGAGAGACATACTTTTATACAAGACAAATCAATAATGCTGGTATCCCAAGTTACTATTCTAACATGAAAAATTACATATTCCTACTTGGGACAGATGTACACTTGAGAAGTTCTTTTTCCTTTTTTTTTTTTTTTTTCTTTCTTCCTACCTTTTCTTTCTTTCTTTCTTTTTTTTTGAGACAGGGTTTCTCTGTGTAACAACCCTGGCTGTCCAGAAACTTGCTTTGTAGACTAGGCTGGCCTTGAACTCTGAGAGATCCACCTGCCTCTACCTCCCAAGTATGGGGATTAAAGGCCTGAACCTCTAAGCCTGGCATATTACAGTGCTATTAATTAAAATTCATACTTGATCCATATTTTCTTAGTTTTTAACCTTAGTTTATCTAGGCCAGAGTTACATTCAGGTTTCCATATTACATTTAATTGTTGTCTCTTCAGGTTCCTCTGGGTTATTGACAGACTTTGCTTGCTTTTTTTTTTCTTTCCTGTCTTTCTTTCCTTCTCTCTCTCTCTCTTGTTGTTGTTGTTGACTTTGACAGTTATCAACTGCTTTGATGACCCTGACTTAGCCTTAAGTGATAAGTATCTTATAGAAAGCCTCTCTATTGGACTTTGCTTGATGTTTCTTTTTATTATTGTATAGTATTATGGATTTTTGTGAGGACAGCAGCTATAAATGACATTCCCAATATGTCATATCAGTGGTACATACTACATCATCCTTTATCACTTTTGATGTTAAATGTGTTCAACTGGAGGAAGGAGTGTCAGGTTCCCCCCCCCTTCATACTTTACTATTTGGAAGGATGTCACTGTGTGTTCCCTACACTTCATGCTCCACCTACTTGAGGGTGGAGTAGTTACATAAATGATTGTATGCATCTGCTTTTTTTTTTTTATCCCTTTAAGTATCTGTAGTCTGGAATAAGCATATACATCCAGATAACAGCTTACTGTTACATATAAAAAACATTGTAACACAAAATGTTAACAATGTAACACAAAAGTTTCTAACTTTTAAACAACCTATTAGTTATTCATCCTTATCATCCCTGTGAAAGTTTACAGTTCCTCTTCTGCTACTTTTGATGTGCTATTTTTGCTTTTAGAAACTAACAAACAACAAATTTCCCCTTTCAGTACTAAAATTAAACATTAGTGTTTAGAGTATTTCTCTGAACTCCATATCTTCCTGCAGAACTCTAACTCATATGTCTGTGGAGATGCTGCTGTGGAGATGTTTCTGTGATCATAAAGCTGGTGTGAGACACTCATGTTATATATGTTATATATGCATATGCACATAAACATAGTATATATATTATGCAGACTGCCTGAACTAAGACACCAGTTAACACAGGTTCATAAAATATCAGCATGCTTGCCTAACTCCTAAGTGTGATTTTTTTTTCAGAAATAGGTGTTTGATGTACATGTTCTCAACCTTAAATTGTGTGTGTGTGTGTGTGTGTGTGTGTGTGTGTTTGTGTGTGTGAGTGAGTGTTATGCAGCCCTGGCTGTCCTGGAACTCAATCTATAGACCAGGCTAGGTTCAAACTCACAGAGTGCTGAGTGCTGGGATTAAAGGTGTTTGCCATCACACTCTGCTTCAGCCATATTTGTATAATTACAATATAATCTTCTAGCAAGAAGGACAGTGGGAAGTGGGACCATTCCTTCAACACCATTGGGCATCCTTAGAAGTACCCATCTGAGAACTGTCTCTTAAGACTTCAGTGTGATGGTGATGAAACACTTGGCTTTGAAAAACTATTTTGTTGTCATCCCTCCTCCTCCCCCCCACAGTCAAATGTTTTCCTCTATAAAGTGTAGATGATGGGAAAGGATGTCTCTGTGAACCAACACCTTCCCCTGATTTGCTTCATCTACCCCACATAGCTCTACTCTTTACTTGTCTGACACATCATATGTGTATTTTTGTAAAGTGTCCTATTTAGGAGAAAGAAGATTCTTAGGAAATGAACACACATACGTAGAGTTTTCTTTTTTTGAGCAGTGGTAAATCAACCAGTTCTCAGAAAGGACAGCCAAATGAGAGAAGTGTTCCCTCAAGTTAAAAAGTTGGAGTGATGCAAATGCCAAGGTACTTTTGAATTATCTGTATAAATCTGGGCCAAGGATTTTTAAAGTTTATTTTCTGAGAAAATGGCCCATATTGTATTCCCAGCTGGTCTGGACTTCATGGCAATCCTCCTGCCTTAGCCTCTCAAGTGCTGGAATTACAGTGGTGACTTCTCCAACTGGAATGAAAAACCCAAGGATTGGAAAAACCTCCATAAATAACTCAGTGAAGTGAATTCTCATTGACCGTCTTCATGACTCTCATGCCCAAATCTAGATAAAAAGTTTCAGATCGGTCCGCGTCAGGCGAATCTGGAAGTTGGGCTTGCGCACACCCTTCTCCCTGCGACAGCGCCCTCATCCCCGGTGTGTCTGAAGTAGACATCCCGAGACCATCACTGAGGCACTGTTTCCACGCGATCAGGGTTCCTCAGGCTTGACATTCAAAAGTGGGTTGAAGGTGCGGAACCCGTGTTCCGAGGGTGCTTTAAAGCGGCCGCCAGCCAGCGCCGCTGTAACCCCGCGCACCGGCTGCTGGCCGGCTCCCGAACTGCATCTGCGCCGACGCGACCGAGCGATCCCGGGGCCTCCCCGCGCCAGGAATCTCCCGCCAGCCGCGCGGGTCCCCACGGCAGGAGCACGTGGAGCGGGCGCGGAGCCTGAGCGACAGCTGTAGCCCGAGCGGCCCGCGGCGACATGGAAGGTGAGCTCCGCGCGGCTGCGCCGGGGTCTTTGAGTAACCCGAGCGGTGCACGCAGCAGCTCCGCTTCCTTCTGAATCTCGGTTTTGCTTCTATTTATTTCTTTTTGTTAATTTAAATGCGTGTCGGTTCTCAGACATCCCCTCCCCCAGCTTGGGAAAGTGCTAAATTCTCTTCAGTTTTATTTCTTAGGGGTTGTGAGACCATGGGTGTATATGGGTCGCCTGACATTTTCAAAGGAAGAACATTTTTGGGGCGTCCCTGAATTTGGCATCAAGCCTGAGATGTGATAATCTTTTTTGGGGTTCACGGCTGCAGTGTCCATAGGAATTAAGTTCATCTGCATTACTTGTGGCTACTTATCTGTAATGGGGCTTTTCTGTGAATTCTGTCTTAAGAGGCAAAGGGCTCATTTTAAAGTGATTGGCACTTGTATGTAGTTAGTTAGCTTGGCACTCAATCTTCTATATGAACTTTTTTTTTTTTTAAAGCCCCAAAACAAAAATAAGACTCAGATTAAGGATTTCATGTGAATTCATTTCGGAAGTATAGCTTTGCTTCTCGGAAGCCCCGCTGTATGAACTTCCCTAAGATAAGTGCAATTTCACATTTTCAACAAGTGTTTCTAAAACTCTGAAGATGGAAGATGTGGCTCAACTCTGGGTGGGGGGGAGGATAGGCAGCGTTTAGACAATCAGAAGTTGAGCAGTAATTCGTTTTTAAAAAGAGATGCTGACACTTAACTAATCAAAGTGTTGATCTGATAAATACCGTGACTATTTTCTTTATAATGGTTGAAGAATTTCTTTTTAAAATAGGAGCCTTGATCTTCAGCATCTTTATTTAGTTCTAGGGCGTGTGAAGCTATGAAATATGACTGAATAGTTTGGAAGACAGTTTCACACGGTAAAGCTTTTGTTTCACAAGGTGCTGGAGTGCAACACAGCCCTCAGTTCTCAGTTTGTGCATGAGTACGCTGGGTATGCCTCCAGCTCCTTCTCCTCATTCTCTTTCTCCTTCTTCTTCTCCCCCTCCTCCTTCCCCTCATTCTCCTTCCCCTCCTTCTCCTCCTCCTTCCCCTCATTCTCCTTCTTCTCATTCTCCTCCTCCTTCCCCTCATTCTCCTTCTCCTCCTCCCTCTCTTCCTCCTTCCCCTCCTTCTCCTCCTCCTTCCCCTTCTCTTTCTCCTTTTTCTTCACCATCTTCTTCTTGCTTCTACTCATGTAAACTATTTTTTCCCCCTCAATAAAATGGCAAATGGTAATGCAGTCAACAGAAACGTCTAAATCTCCACTGTTGGGTGATGCTTCAAACATTTTCTCTGGTTAAAAAAAAAAATCTATATTGCTTCTGATGTTTTTAATTGTCAAGGTTTAAAAAAATAACTTCATAGTTTTTTGACATTTAAATCATGATCTATGAAGTGTGATTGTTTTACATCCTCATTCCTCATCCAAGAACAGAGAAAAAACTTGGTATTGTGTACACTATGGGAAATTTTATTTTTAAAGCAAGCTCTCATGCCTTAATTATTACAAATAATCTCTTTTCCTGAAGTCACGAGTCAGTTCTCCAACACTATTTTCCTAGTCCTAAACATATCATTCATTAAGAATAGTGTAAACATACAACTGGAATATTTCTGTGCAAATGTTATTTTCTCATTAATTATTCAAAATGAAATACAGACACTGAGCTAAATAATGTATTTTAGGACATGGGTGTCCTACCAGTCTTTATAATAAGACAGATGAAGACTTTCTGAAGAAGAAAGTAATGTAAACTTGAATAATTCAACATTTGTAAGCTAACGTGGGAAAAGAATGCATAGAATATAGGTTAGTGATTTAAAGGAGTTACAAATGTGGATGACTAGATTAAAATTAATAGATAATTGAGATAGATGTCATATAGTATATTTAATACACAACTTAAGCCTTTAAATCAAAATGAGATTAAAGAGGTTAATAGTGTGAGCATGGGCATTCTTTTTTTTTGTTTTGTTTTGTTTTGTTTTTGAGACAGGGTTTCTCTGTGTAGCTCTGTAGACCAGGCTGGCCTTGAATTCACAGAGATCCACTTGCCTCTGCCTCCCTAGTGCTGGGATTAAAGGCGTGAGCCACCACTGTCCAGCTGAGTTTGGCCATTTTAAGGTTAGCTTCTTGAGGATAGAATAGTTGATATAGTATTTTAACCAAAAATAATCTCTACTAATTAGATTAATTTGTTTATTGAGACAATGCAGGGTTAGCCTTGAACTCACTATATAGCCTATGCTGGCCTCCAACTCATGACAATCCTCCTGCTTTAGCCTCCTGAGTGATAAGATTACAGGGCATGCAGCACCACATTGGCTCATGATTTTGAGATTTTAAAATAAAAAACTTTGTTCTATTTTGATATTTGGTGTTACAGAGATTTGACCTGCATTACCCTCTCTCTTACTAATGTAAGAAGTGAAATGCCTTATGAAATACCCTTGTTTCTGCCTAATTTGTTGGTCAAAGTAATATACTACAGTTATTGTGAAATGCAAGACTACACTATCCTTCAGTAGATAAAGTCATTTTCATTAGTTTATCTTTGCATTCATCAATGCATATTTTTGGGAAGTTTTCTCTGTGTGAAGATGCCAGATGAAATAAGTCTTTGAAATAGAAATCTTGAGCTGTATCACCTTTTCATAAAAAAGAAATCTGCCTTGTAAATATGAAGAGTTAGTCTAACAAATCAACAGTTATAACAATTATTTCCTCACAGTCAGTGACTTTGATATTTCTCACCCCAAGGTTAGGTATCACCAATGTTACATGTCTATTAGTGACTAATACAGCAATACCATCTCTTTCATCTGGAGTGGTTTATGAAATAGGTGACTGACAGGGGTGACTTTCAGAAGTAATGGTGGATTTCTCACTTATTATAAAGTTTTCCCTTTAACCATACAGAAAAGCCTTTGTGTGTTTTTTAGATGTATTTATTTTAATTTATGTGTAAGTTTGTTTTGTCTGCATGTGTGTACATGTACCACATGCATGTCTGGTGCCCATGGTGCTCATGGAGGTCAGACGAGGGTACTGGGTGCCCTGGAATTAGAGTTACAGGTGGTTGTACACCACCAACGGGGTGCTTAAAACAGAACCAGGGTCCTCTGAGGGAGCAGCTTGTGTTCTTGACTCCAGGCCCAAGTGTGTGTGTTCTTTACACAGCTTCCTGCTTTATAAACATGGTGCATAACAAAGAACTATCCCAGTGCCTCTGGGCATCCCATAAACTACCAGGCTTTTGTTCTATATCGTGCTCTTATTGGAGATTTTATACTGCATAGAACTAAATGCCCCTGCACTAAATAGACCCCTATTATGCAATCTTCTTACTGCTGGCTTCTGTTGCTTAGTTCAGTCCATGGATTTTGTGGTAGCCATTCCAAAGTCATTCTCAAAAGTCTTTTTCTATGTTCCAGATGGTAGAGGTTAACAGAGACTTAGCTTCTAGGCGATGTTTCCTTGCTCTGTATTATGAGTGTATAGAGGTTAAAATATCGAAGTTGTAAGCAACCACAGCCATCGAAATGTCATGGGCTTCTGGTAGAGCGTAATTTTCAAAATTCTGTTTACACTTTCTATAATCTAACACTCACCTCACACTTCCACGTCTTTCCTAACGCCTCACCCCCACCCTCACCGACAGGTCCCAGTGCTCTATGTAAGCACCATCACCATGAAAACTCCACTCCGCTGCTCACCTCCTTCCCCCTACTCCCATCTGGTTCTCACCCCTCACCAGCACCTTGCTTCGCTCGTGTGAAAATCCTCTCCTTTCTGTAGATACTTCTACGAGGGTGTGTGAAAATTATGGATTGCTTTATCCTTCCTGTGGGCTTTAAGGTTTTTTTTGTTGTTGAAGGAAGGTCTCACTGTGTAACATAAGGTAGCCTCAAATACATAATCCTCCTGCATCAGCCTCTTGAGTTCTGGGACTTCGGGTGGCTACCACACTCAGTGAGAGGCTGTTTTTACTTACTTATTTGTTTAATTTTGTGCACGTGTGTGAAACTGCATGTGCGTGTACGTGGAGGCCAGAGCTGGTGGCCAATGTCTTCCTCTGTGACTCTCCATGTTATTATTATTGTTAGTATTTCATCCTTTGTGTATCCCTGTCTGTCCTGGAATTTACTGTATAGACTAGGCTGGCCTTGAACTCAGAGAGATCTGCCTGCTTCTGCCTCCTGAGACCTGGATTTAAGGTGTGTGCCACCACTGCCTAGCTCTCCATTTATTTTTGAAACAGTGTTTCTCACTGGGCCTGTAGCTCAGTCATTCAGTTGGAGTGGCTGGCGGAACGCCCTGGGGTCCTCTTGTCTGTGCTTCCCACTGCTGGGGCTACTGTCACACACTGCCCCTCCTGGCCTTTTATGTGGGTGCTGTGGTTCCAAACTCAGGTCCTCTTGCCATCTTCCCGTCCCTTTATGCTTTACTTTTGTATGCCCGTTGCCTGGTTTGTAGAAGGCTATCTCTATTGTTGCATTCAATATAGAAAGCAGTACTGAAAATAGTTTTTTATGATGTCTGTTTAGAGTTTTTATTACATTTATTTGTTTGTGGGGGGAGGGGGCACATACATGTCCAGCACACGAGTGGAGGTCAAAGGGCAACTTGTGGGAGTTGGTGTTGTCCTTCCACTATGTGTCAGTGAGTTCTGTGGCAATTACAGCTGTCTGATATTAGGCCCCTGGTCCCCAGAGCTACATAACTTCCTTTGTTACACACAACTTCCTAACTCCATCTTGGTACTGTGGGCGTTATGCTCTAGCAGTCAGACTTTGAGAAGTACATGGACCAATAATTTGCAACAATCATTTGCCCAAATCAGTTATGTACAGTCGAGTCAAGGGAGACAGGAGGGAGAAACTATTCATAGCCAGAGGAAAGCAGTGTTTCTCAAGCTTGCCTCAGTCAAAACCCCCTTTCACCTGAGAATCTTCTGTGTATATAGATAATTCT